CAAAACTATAAAACTATACAAATACAGTACATGTCTAGATAGTGTAATAAAATAGTCTATGTTTTAATACACGTACCCTTTTTTACGAAAATTGTGCGGACAGAGTATGAAATTTCCCACACTTTTATATATAGTTTATATAGAGGAGTGCAAAACTTATATTTCTTTTAAAATTATGCATAAAATGCATTAAATCAATAAAAAAAATGACAGGATCTACAGGAGTTCCTGATTGCTTTGTGTTCACAGTATATCTTAAATCGCATACTAGTCGACTTTTATTCCAGTGAGCTATGCATTTTATGAGAACAGCGACTTTTCTTTTCTTTTGTCCATTCGCCAATACTTTTCTTTTGTCCATTCGCCACTAGATTTAGATTTTATCACAAGTATTACATCAACCAAAAGCACCAAAAGCACCGTGACTCGAAACTATAAAACTGTACATATACATGTCTAAATAGCATAATGAATGACGACCCGAATGGCGTAGTGGGTAGTGTACCTGCCTCCTGCGCCGGAGGGTGTGGGTTCGATCCCCACTACTGGAAAAATATTGTGTGATGAACATGGTGTTTTTCTAGTGTCTAGGTGTTTCTATATGTATAATATGTATTTATTTACAAAAGAAAAGTATGTTTATCAGTTTTCTAGTAGCCATAATACAAGCTTTGCTTAGTTTGGGACTAGAAAATGTTGTGTACAAATGTGTCCTAAATATTTATTTATAATTAATCTACATATTAATACGTGAAGTAAAAACTTTGTACCCCATTTTACGAAAATTGCGCGAGGGGTATGAAATTTCCCACACTTATAGTTTATATATAAAGGAGTGCAAAATGCTAATATTTAAAAAAATATGCATAAATCAATCAAAAAAACATTCCACACTCTCAACATGAATAATTAATTATGGTCGTATTTCGACCACTAGTATACATAAAACATCCTGTGTGCTTATGATGACATCTTTAATCATCATATGAGAGGCCTCCAGATATAAATATTCACCACGCCAACAACTTCAGTTTGGCTTAATACTCATCAGGGTTCGAAACGATAAGTATCATTAATTTATCTTTGATAATTATCATGATATTTATATTACTTAGAAACAATATCGAAAAATGTTTAATTTTTAACTCTTCAAATTGCCTTATAAAATGACTGCGTGCATCGGAATGCGCCATCGCTTGCCTATAGCCGGGGATTCCCCGCGTTGTTTTTGTATATTCAATCGTTCATTTATATGGCAAAACAAAATACTTGAAAAATTTGATTTCTTAGTGATACGTTGAGCTATTTAGAACAATCGACAAAGTAAATGACAAATTGACAGAAATCTCTTAAATTATACTACGAAATAGGGCGGAAAATTTAACCAACGCCTAAAAAGAGGAAACTTTCGTACACAGTTTTTGGCCTCAAAAAGAAAAGTTTCTCTCATTTGTGAGCAGATAATGACAGCATTATTTTTAATACTTTAACGACCATTCGGAATAGTGCAATCAAAACTCATAAATCGAGTGGAAAATGAAAAAGCGACATTTATTTTTGAATATCTCAATCAGCATACAGAATATAGACACTGAATTACGTTTGAAATCAGAAATCTACTAACACATTTGAGGAAGTTGAGAATAATATTACAATAGTTAATTCAAATAACTAGAGCTTATTTTTGTTAATTTATTGTAATAGGAAGATTGGATTTATAATTTTAAGTAATAGATTGAATGGTAAAGTCTTACAGTATGTTGGATAAATATCATTACTTGTATTAAGGATTGCTAAGTTTTTTTTACCATTATCTCGATAATTATCAAATGATATTACTATTACTTTCATATCTTATATCTTCCAAATATTCCCATTTCACATATCAAGACACTATACAAGTTGACATCAATTCTACGAGATTTAGGATGGCGCTATCTCAGACTAGTTTCATAACTTGACACGCTGAAACGGAAACATCGCTGCGTGAAAGAGAATCATCTGCGTGATAACGGAAACGGCAAATGCGACGTCACCATTTCGCAATTGAAACAACCGGAAATAGAAAAGAAACTAATTGGAGGATTTGCTTTGGCTATAGCTATGCTATATACCGCTACTTCATTGGCAATTTCAGTTATAAAAAACAGTTGACCTAAATTCTCGTATCACCACCGCGCGAATCGTCACCCTCATATTTTAGGCCTAGACGCCTTTGTTCACCCGCCGAAGGATTCGAACCCGCGTCTTTTGTCTCGTCACGCAGGTGGTTAGCGCCGATTGGCCAGTGGTAGTATAATGGAACGAAAAAAAATCTCTCGCGATGTGAAAGTAATTCAATTCGTGACAGATAAGCACTCCTTTGTTTTTTTTTTGTTCCCCTCGTCAGCCATGTTCGACGCATTTACAAGTCCATTTTTATTAACGAGAAACAAAACCGATTTCAAATTTCTCGTACTGTATTCATTTTATAATTGATTTTCAGGACTTCCCTGAGTATCTCCGGAGCTCAGGATCCAATACCAGTGAAATTAATATGGGAGTACATGGGAAGCACGAGCTTTCAAATAAATAATCATCAAAACTGGTTCACCAAGTCGAAAGTTATGTGGTAACAAACATAAAAAAAAAAACAGTTGAATTGAGAACCTCCCCTCCCCTTTTGAAGTCGGTAGAAAAGTGGGGAGTACTAAATCTAATCCAAAACTCAATTTAAGAACCCTGTACCAAGACATTCCACAAATAGTGACATCATTAGATTGCATGGTCATTAAGAAAGCTTACAATATATTTTGTTCAGATCAGCAACAGTCAACTGTATGAAAGGCACTACAGAGGATAGGATGAAACCAAGTGTCATAGCTAACCATATATATGAGATCCATTCTATGGGAGCGAAAATCTTCTCTACAAATAAATCCTGAACTGTACTCAACCAATATTTTCGACCATTGTCATATAAAAACCTTCTTAAATTTTATTTATCTTTAGTCTAAAACATTTTTAATCATCACTATGATTAAAAAAAACTAGCATGGTATATTATCATCCACTATTTATCCCTAAAAACCTGACTTTTATCTGCACAGAAGACAAACACTGACTGGCTTTATAAACTAGGAACTTCCTACAACAGAAATTGTGTAATCCTGCGTGAAAATTTGTTTCATTAAGTTTGTTGTTCCCTTTTATGCTGTATATTAATTAGCTGATAGTCCTTCTGATATGATGACACTATATAATTATCAAAAACTTACTTGTGTTCCTTTGAGTGCAGATGAACAGGCCCAAAAAATAAAAATAATATATATATATATATATATAAAAATTACCCAAAGCTTAAGTAACTGCATGCTTTTGTGACAAAAAGAGAAAAGAAATAATTTCATATGCATTACATAGTCTTGTCTCAAATTTCCTAGACAATAGTAGGACCAAATTTCTTGTCTGAATATGTTTGTTCCAAAAACATGATTCATAAGGCAAAAAAATTTGGTGTGAATAAAAATGAATGTTCAAGTAACAAGCTAATTGTATTTTTTTGGTGATGGTCTATTGACTAGTGACAAAATACTTTTCACATAATAGTCTTAAGTTGAATTTTAGATGCATATAGAAAGTAGATGTTCATTTTTATAGTTCGGTAACCAAAGGGTAAAATGGGACCCTATTGATGAGATTAATGGGACACTAACACCCGGTTTCTGAAACACTGATCATCGTAGATGTCAACTAATCAGCTGTCAAATGGATTTCAAATTACAATTTAGGTACCAAAAGGATGGTTAAACTCTCTGAATTATCATCTTTATGATTAGAATAATGTGAGAACTTTTAGCAAAAATTAAGGCAAAAAAATGTGAGAACTTTTGGCTAGTTTGCATTTCATGTAAATAATACTGTGCTTTAAAAATTGTCATGATAAGCAATATCTTACAATTTGAATAAATTTTAAAATTAGAATAATAAATTTTTAATACTAACAATAACAATAAGTTTTTAATGTTAACTTGTTCAGTATCTTATTAATATTACTTAATAACACTTCAGAAACATCAAGGAAAGCCATGCAATGTTGTTGTAACTGTATACTCCATAATATAGTAAATACTATCCCCATTTTTAGCTTATTAATTTCCTAATATAATAAGTAGTCAGCTTTCCAAAGTTAAAAATTTTAGTGTATAATGCATGTGAAACAAATGAGTCATAGAACACTTACTGAAACAGGGAATGTTAACAGTGAGTATGTTAATACAATACACTACATTACAAAATAAGCCTTTCATGCTTCTAGGATAATTCAAGTCTGCATTCACTATTTATATAAAAACATGTAATTTTTTAAATTTCAATAGTCCAAAAGAGGTCATTGATAAATCTGCTTATGTAAAATGTGTTAGAGATTGTTGTTAATTCTACACAAATATTTGACTAAACACTGAATAATCATGAACATCCCGCGACCCAGTTTTTAATTAATGAAAACAAAAATGTTTCAAAATTTTGCTGCCTATTTTTGTGAAAGTTAAGGTATAGTAAATAATATTTTCATATTAGTTTTCTAAAGTAAGCCTTTACTATATTCCCCATCCCATCAGAGTAAGCTTGAAATAATACTTAGTTTAAATGGCAACACTAATAAATTGCAACATTATTAATAAGCACAACCCAGTAAGAAGATTAAACATGAGTAGGTAACTCAAACAGCTGATCTAATTGCAATATATTCAATGCACATGCATAATTTTTAGGTAATATTTTAATGATAGGTTAATAATTGTAAACATGGTTTTGGTTAATTTTGGAACAAATAACAACACTGTTTTTAATTGGCTAGGCCGTGTTTTCGTATAACTACACTTCTAAATCTTCCGCGATTCCCTATAGATTAAAACCAATTTAATTCAAGTTTCATAAAATACATAGAGAAAGTTGTTACTATTTAAATTGAGTACATTAAACGCTTTCCCTACAAAAATCAGAAAAATAAGCACCACCTGCAAGGGGCTCCAACCGGGGCCCAATTGAGATTGTCGACCATTCGGATTGTGTTGCGAGCCGCCTGACATTGTGTGCGGTGTCCTCGCGGCACTGTTTACAACACGTATACAACTCCTATTGTACAACGACCACTGTTTCAGTCCACCATAATGATGCCGGCAACTTTGAAGCCCTCACACGCGTAACTGCGCTGTCCTACGACGTGTACAGAAATTTCTGAAACGTTTTCATGTGCACACGTAAATATTGTAACTCTACACCATGACTATCACATACTCCGAAAGGGCAACAACACTTTTGTAAAGTTCATAAGACACGCATTTCAAAGAAAACCACATTTATTTCATGTATGATATGGTGTCCACAGTCCTGATGCTCACTTCGCGTGACATTTCAAACGCTTTTAGGGTTTGAACATAAGCACTCTACACTTAAATGGAAACTTGATTAATGTTCACAAGGTGCTAAATACTATATCTAATCAACAAATATCTTAATTTTTGCTAAAAACTGTTAGAAAAATGCAAATTAAAAGAAACTATGCACAAGGATCACCTCCAACAATGGTGGCCGATTTGGATTTTGAAAGCACGCTTAGCGCCATCTTACGGCAAACTTTAGTAAAATGTCGGTAAAACAGTTCAACGGAAACCTTTGTATTTTGTCTTTGGATTTTGGCTTAGTGAGGAATAAATAATTTATTTTTCAATAAAAGTTCATAAATAATTCTGAAAATATATAATTTATTTGTTTATATTATAAGAGCTTGTGAAAAAACTATTACTTTTAGGTGCTTTTTAAGTTTCCCAATGTCATATACTTATTTCATTTAGAAACTTAAAGCGTTTTTGTAGAATGGCAATCTGGTTACTATAGCAACCTTTGTTTCGCATAATTTAAGCAGAATAATTAATTTAATTTAAACGTAGTGATTACATTCTCTTTGAATTTAAGAGCAAGAGCATTTTAATTTAAACCGTGCGTATTGTTTTCCTTGGATACATTTACTTAAGCACTTAAAATGAAAGATAGAATAGAAATTACCAAGTTCCTTGTATCTTTTATTGGGCGGATAGATTATGTTGTATTTCCTGGTGGCGTCTTTGACGAAAGATTATTCATTCAGTACGATATTGTATGGGGCCCAGATTGGGACCCAATTTCCGGATTAAACTCCGGTACCAGTCAAATGGCAATGTCAGGACAAGACCGAGAACGGGTGGTTTTTAATTTACCTTTAGAAATGGTCTTTAGCAGTACTAACGTATTTGGTTGTGAGTGTCATTTTGTACTAAACGTATGATTAGAGTATTTCTCAAAATAAGCTACAAACTAAAGTTCACTACAAAAAATAAGTTTGTAAAAATTCCAAACAATAAAAAATATTGATCCATCCAAGTGAAATGTATTTTTGCGTACTATATATATTTTTTAACAGTATAAAGCACGAAAACTGAATGGTATTTCAAAGTAGGCTAGGGTTTTAGTAGGTTTGGCAACCCTAGCTCTATACCTGTTATTATTGTAAGAGAAGTGATCATAGGAAATTTTGGTTTAGAAATGACATTTGTTATTACCGCTAATTTTGAGAAGTAATAAAATTATTGCTTATTTATCTTTAAACACTGTTTTTTAATTGTCATATTAGATTTTATGCCAAGTCATAACATCATGGTGTTACGTTTAATAACTAATAAAATGCGTAGGTGATGTAGTAACCTTGCTTATTGGTTTACCATAAATCCTAGGCCACGATGGTCACCGTTTTATTAAACGCATATCACCATTCTCTGGCATTTCACCGCCGGTCTTGCACTACACCCCTGGCAATCAAGAACCTATACGTCGGCTAAGCTCCTCCGAAAAATCAAGAACCCATTCGAAGACACCACTCATATGTAACAAGTATGTAAATAACTTTCAATTTCAGGGCCCCAACTGGTAATAACAGTCAGAGCACGGAACTGCGTAGGTGGTGATTCCCTACGGGGCTACGCCGTAGTAGCTCTGCCCACTACGGCGGGGGAGCGCGAAATGTCGTCGCCTATAATCCGACCGCGCGCCGCTACGTTGCTAGGGGAGTGGCTCGCTTGGCTTACGGGCAGATACCCCGAGCTGGCTGAGCCCAAGATGCTAGCCAGCGGCAAGGAGAATTACCGTAAGACTGCATATTGCCTCGTAGAAGTATATTGTATATAGCATATTTTCTTTGTAAGTTGTACTTATGTAATAACTGAGTAAGTTATACATTAGGATCTTGTTTTGTCTTTTTCTATATTTTACTTATGAATTTGTATAAGATAATGGCATTAGGTTTGCATATTTTTTTTATTGTTCTAATATACCCCGTGATGTAACGAAATCAGTACGGCCGTTTAGTAACTACACAGAGACGGACAAACATACATACATACAGGTAAAACATAACAAAGTAATAGCTACGCATCTGCAACTCCATAAGTGTTGTAGATGTCCATGGGCGGCGTTTATCACTTAGCTTCACAATTTTGTTGTATACCTTACTGCTGTGTTTCGTTTATTTGGTCCGCCTGCTCGCTTGCCAGGACCGGTTAAGAAACGAGTATATTTTTTTTCAGTGTTAAGAACGGAATCGTATGGTAGCGTGGTTTTGAAGGTGTCGATGGTGTCGAAAGACTTTCGCAAGCTTGGCTACGACAACGAGCCGCCCGTTTGCACAGGCCAATGTAAAACTTCTACAATGTAACAAGGAGACATTGAAGAATTGAAACAAATGGTTCCAAGGATTTTATTAAAAACTTACCTACGACCGCGAATCCGTTCCAGTGGGACCACTTACGAGTAATAACTTAAATGACATATATTCATTAAAAAAAATTGTGTTCATATCTTCTGAGCCCTGAAATATATCAATATAGAAATAAATTTAAGTTGAAAATGTTTTCAAACCTATAAATCTACCAACCTAGTCTAGCAGTCAGCGGGGTACGTAGGATTACCCGATATCAGAGTGCCCACTACCCCAGGTTAAACTGGTAAACTAAACCCAGGTTGCACCTGCCTTGTCGCTTTTGCCGCGACTGTGGCCTTCGCAGGTTGTTAGGGCATCCGGTTCAGCCACGTTGTGTCGAGAGCGGTCTCGAGCCCTTTTCTGGGCAGCTGTTAATAATTTCTATAAACCTTAAACGTGTCCGAGCGTTGTGCCTGGTGACAGCTGTCATTCTAAGCACGCCTCGTAGCGTATCTCTATAACGTACGTAAGGTAATATTGTGCTTTATATTTGCTCAACATATTGAATTATCTGCTTTGGCCTAAAAGTCCTCCAAAAAAAAAAGAATTATTTGTTGAAGTGCACGGTATAAGCATTTTCCTTTGGTCGTCTTACCACAGACGATAAATAAAATAAAATAAAGGTAGTAAATTGTTTGTTTTCAAATTCAAAATCTGGATTTGTGTAAAAATGGATATAAATAGACTGTTGGATGGATAAAACTGGAAAAATGGTTCGTGTTTTCTTTCATGTCAAAAGTTGGCAAGCGAGCCGCGGCGGTTCATCTGATGTTAAGTGATTACCGCCGCCTATGGATATCTACACCAACAATATAAAAAAGTGGGTCCGAGTTACCTAACTCGACAGACGACTCGTGAAAGTATATTACTTCCCCTTCACGGCGGTCTTCTGTTAGGCCGTGGTACATCCTCAGATAAGCCTGCCCATTCGTGCCACAGCAGAAGGTGCATCGCTCTACCACACAGATTTTCATGTGCAATCCGTCTTTGTATCGCAGGATAATGTATTTATATTATTTACTAGTGACCCGCTCCGGTTTCGCATGGGTGCAATGCTGAATGTGTGTTTTCGACATCGTATTAGAAAGATGTAAAATTATCAATGTTTCTCTATTATATTATGCATGAATACATATAAACGTTCTTCTTGAATCATTCTATCTATCAAATAAAACCGCACTTTTAAAGATCTAAGCATACATAGGGACAGACAGACAGCGGGACTACTATGAAGATAATGGAAGAACAAAGTGATATAACTGATTTATCCCGCATTTGACATATTTACTGGATGTAAGGGGATTCCCTTTCGCACCGCACTTACAATAGATCGTAAATATTACTTGAACATCTTGAAAATACTGTTTAGTCGCTAGTGAACTACATATTTAATGAAGACAACGGACGCTCTTTGTTTTTATATCCCATTAATTATCGTTTTAGTATTTTTCAACAGACGTCAGAAAATCAAGAGCTTGTCGATTCGTTTATGTTCTCAGAACTTCGTCATTTATGAACCGATTATGAAAATTCTTTTTGCATTGGGTTTGGTTTAGGTTTCATGTGGTCCCATATTATTTTCATTGATATTGGCCCTTGGACACCGGAGATATAACAGGGAGAACTCTTCGAAATCAAATAGAACAAAAAGTTAGCGAATAAATCTGAAGTTCTTTTTTAATAGGCATCGGCAACCCTACGTGTGTTGTACGTGTCCATGGGCAGCGGTTATCACTTAACATCAGGTGAACTGTCAATTCACTTGCCACCTTCTTGCATAAAAAAGTCGGTTGTGTTTTTGTTAATAAAAATTTACTTATTACAGACGTATGTTCAGTACATAATAGTGTAATGCGATTATAGCATTACATATTATATCTGTACCTCAGAGGTAAACAGCATTATGTGAAAAAACACAAATTTTACAGGAGAGGCAAAAACGCGAGTGTGAATCCCTGAATGCATTATTGATTATGATGTCATGTTGATGTTAATGCTTTAAATTATTGTGTACAATTTGTTCTTGATTTTTATGGCGTAAATAGATAATTTTGAAAAATGCGGAGTTACTATTGTATGCCTTTGAGATACAGAAATAGATACAGGAACAATTAAAGGATTAATCATCGTCTTCAACAGCGTGTGGCAGTTTACTGTTAGACCTCTTCCAAAACATTCCCGCGCCGCTTATGTCGCGTCTTACAGTTACCTAGGGGGCGTCCTAGTGCGTTTCCCCACTCAAAACTTCATAGACGTCCACCAATGACAAATTCCATTGCTAGTTCTGACGATGTTTAAGAAAGTATTTTAGTTACATTAGTTTATTTATTTATTTATTTTTAAACTTCATGCACAAAACACAATATATAGGTAGGCGGAGTTAATGCTGACAGCATTTTTACTTGTCAATCTTAGGGTACCGAGAAGTTGAAGTAGGTGCTCAAACATATAATATAAAAAAATACGTAATTATTATACATAAATATATAATACATACTACAATTCTATCATTCGTTTACCGGGAGATAATGACTTCATTTATTCACTAAATCCGTCAAATAGTTTCCTTTTGCCGACGGATATTATTTTGTGAAATCCTATTCGCTAAGATGCTGACCGCTTTCTAGGGTGAGCTCTGTATTATCCATAGTTAGCAAAGAATAATAACATATTAATCAACATCATCATCATTTCCGCCAGTTTGAGTCCACTATTGAACATAGGGAACCGATATAGGTCAGTGGATTAGCAAGCTGAAGTTTCCATGGACCGGCCAGGTACCTTGGTTCCTTTGGTACGTTGGTTCCTTAGTTCCTCGGTACATCTAGTCTACAATTCTGATCGCGAAAGTACATTACACGTCGTGAGGTCATCGCGTACGAGTTTTTTCAACATAATCGCTAACATCGCTAAAGTCGCAAATTTTGTACATTGCACGACCTCGAATGACCTTGAGGTCGTTTACCATTGACACCCAAACTCCTGCACCTCTTTGTTTACGAAAATCCTTTCACTATTTGAATGATATATTATTCCAATTGCAAATCTGTAACAATACTTAATAAATAATATACCATGTGCCTTATGAGAGCTTCCAGAGTTTTCGCGCGGTGTAAATAATTATTAATTAAAATTAAATATTAACTAAAAAGTGTAATGTAAATTAAACAATGCATTGATGACGTAGAAAAACGAAACGACTAACATTTGAATGTGTGACTGCTCAAGCAAATACTGTTTTTAATAATTATTAAAATATATAAATATACTGCAAAAATTCACGCCGGTTGCTTCTGAGGTCACCTGTCCGAATTATTTAAACACAATCACTAATATCGCTAAACCACGTGTAGCATCGCGGCCTCGAACGACCTTGAGGTCGTTTATCATTGACACCGATGACAGCCGCGATGATTGCAGCCATTAACAAAGCAACAGAGGAAAAGATGCCCCCATGGCGCCGTTAAACAGAGCATGACATCGTTATCGTACTTATGTACGAGTCGAGTCGCAAAAAAAACCCTATCGCATCACCCGCGAGTTGTTAAACATTCCGATATGCGTGTCATAATGATGCGCAATGTAATATCGATCCTGCTATCCGCGTTTTATGTCTATTAACACGGTGCGGCTGGAATTCATTGGCGCACGTGCCGAGGCTAATTACTTGTACTATCTCAAAATCTTAAAACCTGTCAATAAATAAATAATTAATGAATTAGCAATCAAGTCGATCGTTTGATTTTTCTTATTTTTAGACTCTTTTCATCATCATTTTACCCTGTTGCTAAACATAGGCCTGCCACACAGACTGCCGTGAAGTTATGATACGATTCATTTACGAGGGAGGCATTGCTACGCATAACACCTTCGCGTGACCAAGGCCGGGCCAATAAAACCACCAAGATGTTCCCTGGGCACATATCTGAAGGGCCTCGGGAACGTTTTAGAACTCTGCCGTGACTCCACCAGCGCTGGCCGCCTAAGCAGCCCAACTTCTTCAAGTAATTCGTGCTGGAAAATAACCGTGTGCGCCTTCCTTTTATGTGAAAAGTTGCCAAGCGAGCAGACGGTTCACCTGATGTTAAGTGAATACCGCTGCCCATGGACATCTGTTACACCAGAGGGTTTCAGATGCGTTGACAACCTTTTGATAATTGGGCTCCGGCTACCTCACTCACCCGACGTAACGCGGAAGTTTTATACTTCCACTTTACGCCGGTCTTCTTTGACGTCGTGATACTTACCCGGACGAAGCTGCCCATTCGTGCAACAGCGGCTGCTGCATGACTCTACCACCTTGGCTTGTTTCATGGGCATCCGACCACCTTCAGTCCGGTACCCATGGGTGCCAGAAAAGTCGGGGCTATCCAACAGCAAACTAGTCAGCTCAAAATCTTTTTGTCAAATTCAATTCATGCGAAGCCATTTAATAAACTAGATCAAAGAAAATACTTAGTGGAAAGGAATAATTTCAAGAATACAAATTCTAAATAAAGGATAAGACTAAGATAATAATATGATAAGTAATTTTGTTTTTTGTTATTCGTTTTCACTAAAACTAAATTTAGTAAGGGTTCGTTATATTTTTTAGTCTTTTTCAACGAAAATCAAACAACCTGTAATTAAGAGCTCACAAGCAAAAAGCAGTAATTAGGGGCTCAAATGTTCGTTTTAATCTGCCGGGAATTTAATCCAAGGTCCCTGATCCCTTCACGCACTCCGATCATTAGGCAACGGGGCCACAAGACCTTAATTAAGATAATATATTATCATTAACACATTTTAATGAGTATCAACTTAACAGATATTTTTGCGGTAAACGAATAATCATCCATGTATTTAGCGACTAAGGAGATTTTATTTATTTATTTATTAAAACAGGCTTACCATCTAAATACATAAAAAGTAATTATTAGTCTGATGTGATGCACTTAAAACTTAAGTTTATCATTGTATACACGCATTAACATAAAAGGTAAACATAACATCGAATAACACACTTCATTAATGGAGAACAGTTACCCATCAAAAGCACTACAATATAATTTTCAACAAAAAAAAACCGACTTCAAACCGGAAACTAAAAAACATTGTTGATAACTATAACATTTGAGGATTGCCTTGATTTCTCTAGGATGCCATCATTAGATCCGGGTTTATTTATCATGGTACCACCCTTGGGATATTACCTTTCCAACAAAAAAAAATCATTAAAATCGGTTCATAAACGACGAAGTTATCTGCGAACACACATAAAAAATAAAAATATATACGGTTGAATTGAGAAACCTCCTTCTTTTTTGAAGTCGGTTAATAATATGAAAATGAGAACAAGAAAGAGCATAAATTATATAAAGTATAAAATATTAAAAAAAGAGGAATGAAAAAAAAAAATTAATGAAATAATTATTAGGCTCTGAAATGTGCTAGCACCTAGATAGAAAAACAACTAGTCTCTATCTATCAACAAATACACGTACTTTTTGATAGATAGATTTGCATATGCCTGTCTTCAGTTCACATTATAGCAGACTCCATTCATAATTCACGATGGTATTCTTCTAGCTTAAATGGTGAACCTGATGCTTAGTGTTGAGACGTTGTTTTCGTCTTAGAATTTGTCAGAACCCAACAACTGCGTATGCTAATCTAGGCAGGTGTATGTAATTTAATACGATACAAGCTCCCGTGGTTCTAACTCTAAAAAGGAAGACAAGGTACTTTGATGTTTGTGCTAAGTCGATTCTGCTACCTTACACAAATATTTGACACTAGTTTTTGTTAATCCATAATAACTGTAAATAATTCTGCACTTTAATACACTACTTTATTATTAGTTCGACTGATGTTTTTGCTTTCAGTCTGTCAACAAACAAGCTTCATCAAACGTGGAACTCGTAGGTAATGAGATCCGAAGAGCTTGATATGGCCCTACTTGTTGGGAAGACCGCGCATGTGCTCATGCGAGCGTTATCTTAACAAGGAATGTCACCTACAGGCCATCGAGCTTTGTTACGGACCGTAATATCGATGGCCGTGGACTGTATTAATCGTTGGCTTGTAGTAGAGATGGTGTTTAAGGTGGCCAACATCTTGAGAGGTATCTCGACCACAGCACGCCTTTATGAAGCTTATGATACATGTTTACCATGGGGAGAGTCCTCATGAATGCTTGGATTAATTGCAACTGCAATAAAACACAAAATGCCTTTGACGCTGTCTTGATGTTTGTCGCCTCCACCGTGCTAGCACAGACAAATGAAGGATTTTTCTTCAAAAGTTTTCGGCGATCTTGTGAAATCAGTTGTTGCTGGCGATTTCGGGACAAATACGACCATGAGTTTTCAGGAAGAAAGCCTATGCACCATTATGTATGGCGTTCCGTTTTCCGCCACCTCCATAAAAATTTTTATGCCGTTGGCGAGAAACGGAACGCCATACATAATGTACTGAAACCCAACAGTATATGAGTCGAGGTCTCATCTACTGAACTCCCAGCGATAAAAAACAACATAATACAATAGAAGATAGTTTGGAAGCAATTGTCATTCAATTCGTTTCCCCTCCGATAAGGTCCCATTGCAATACGTTATCTATATCCTTTTCACCGAAACTTTTATGGAACATTAGCCCCTGCAAGTGTAAACATATGAAGAAGATAACATTTTAAAATTCCCTTTGCAAAAACATCGCAAGGACTAAGTGTATTATAGGTACTAGATTTTTTACCAATTTATGTCTGCCTTCTGCGAGGTCGTAGATTTCACGAGAGCAGCCTGCCCGTTCGTGCAACAGCAGAATCTGTTGCATGACTCTACCTCAGTATATACTAATTATTGTAAAACTCTTATTATGTATATATCTATATTCTTTGACCTTTGAACCAGTTCTGAACTAAAGCATTTAGTTCATTGTTATATTATGTATACATTTATAAGAAACTCTCTTAAATATTCGAACGTCCTGAATCAATCAGGCCTCATTCTAAATTTTGCCGACATCCATTAACATCACATTGAAGATATAAAGGAAACGTTAACACTTTTTTTTCCTTTTTTTTAACAACGCAAAATTATCTTTCTTGTAAGTTTTTTTTCATCAGCCAATTAAAGTATAGTGAAACAGGTTCACATTTAAATGACATTGGTTCCTTAGAGATTTGACGTTTAAAATTAAACGATTATTTAAATCATGGTAATTTGTCACTTATGTATTCATTCGAAACGTTCCATGAGGCCTTTGTAGTAAATATTTTTTTTCTTCTCATATAAAAAAGCCTTTTTCTTGTTTTATATTTTTTTATCTAATTCCATGGTATGGTATTTTATTACCTATCGAAAGACGCTTTTAAATCATTATTTTTGTTTATGTGAAAATATGGCAAGCGAGGGAGTGGTTAACTGGTGGTGGTAAGTACTGCTCATGGACACAATGTGTTGCCACCTTAAAAATGGGTTTACTATATTATTCACATCTTGTACTGACCCTAAGTGGAATAAGGGTTAACGAGGCTCTTTTCATTACATTACGGACCTGCCCATTTGTGGAACGGCCGAAGCTGTTGAGTAGGGCCCTACCACAGTTACATTTACCATACCTAAATTTTTTTTTCGCTTGAAATAACTTTTCTCTTCTTTAATTCAGTGAAGAGAATAATTTTGATTGTATTGTAATGTACCAGTAATAAGACTAATGTACACGCAGTCGAAAGGTTTGGCTATAAGATTTTATCATCCTCACTATCACAGTTCTTTGTTAATATACAGAATATAAAACTGTGTTTGGAAAAATATATAGAGACGTGTTATACTTCTGCGTTTCGTATGGTGAGTGAGGTAGCCGGAGCCCACTTTGATAAAAGGTGGCAACGCAGCTGCAACCCTACGGGTGTTGCAAATGTCCTTGAGCGGCGGTTATCACTTAACATTAGGTGAACCGCCAGCTGGCTTGCCTGCTTCTCACATAAAAAAACTTATTTTACTTTTGACTCGGATGATTAGTTTTTTCAACCGACCAAGAACTCGTTAGTTGACTTTAACAACACGTGAGATTTTCGAACCGCAAACCGGCTTCGGCGCCGTGGGTCATGGGTTCGTACTGACCTATTAATGACTATCCCGGGTCTGATTGTTCGTTTAACGAACAACTACTGGGTCAAACTATGTTAAATTTTATGGGACCAAATGGCAACCATTCCGCATCAAAATGAAGAAGAATCACGTAAATCGGATCATAAATCTCAGTGTAAACGGTGTACACAGATAAAAAAAATATACCAATCGAATTGAGAACCTCCTCCTTTTAAAAGACGCTTAAAGCAAACAGAATACGCTTGTTTAAATTTTAATACCAAAACATACGAGCAACTTTGTTGTGAATGCAGTGGCGGATTTGTAGTCTTGACCGCCCTAGTCCTCAGCCTATGTAGTTAGTTCCAGCCCCCCCTTTCTCAGCGCAAAACATATATCTTGTTATCATCAGTGGCATTTTTGGCACGATTGGCCACCCCTAATATGTGGCCGCCTTAGGCCTGGGCCTATTGGGTCTTAGGGCAAATCCGCCACTGTGTGAATGCATCCGGGATATCTTTACGAAGTATGTAATGCGATGGCTGTGTATGTAATGCATTACACAATCATTTCAACTCTTTTCACCGTTGCAATGTTTTTTAAGACATTAAACGTTATCGACGAATCTATCTGGATTATATGAAAGAGGTGGAGGAAGATCCTAACCTTTACAAGAGTTTAACCATCCTTTCGGCAATTCAAATGACATTTGACAGCTGTTTTCGTCGATGAGCAGTGTTTTAACAACCGGGCGTATGACTTTCAATTTAAGAGTAGTAAAGAAGAGCAGCGAAGAGCGTAAATCCATTATCTCTACCTACTACTGCTCTAAATTACAAGCGTGAGTTCAAGTGCACGATGCCAAAACAATAACAAGCATACAAAGCACGTACGTAAAAGTAAAGTAACAGCCTATATAAATTTCCTTGCTGGGCAAAGGCCTCCTGCTGCATAGAGGGTATGAACAAGCGGCCCACTACGGATTAGCGTACCTCACATATATTCGAAATATTTTATGTTATTATTTCGAAAATATGCAGCTTTCCTCACGATGTTTTCCTTCACCGCTGAGCAGCTTGATAAGTCTGCACTTAAAATTAACAATTTCATTGGTGCCAGCACCGAGGATCGAACTCGGGTTGCTCTAGTAAATTGAATTGAAGGCGAGCGCCAGGACACTGAGCTATCACGAACGTACGTAGACATAATCCACCTGTAAACGTTATAAAATAAAATGAATTAGTGCACACTGACTAACACCCGCGTGTTAGCGCCGTATATTTTCCCCCGAATCTTCAAGTCTTGAGGCAATCGCTTATCAGAGTAGCAATTAAATGCGCGGGCGCCATTCAAATTGGTAGACAGCCGCGGTATCAAATCAGTCACCTCAGAGCCTTCGTCGGTGACGCCCGCAAACGACCGTCTCCGTTTGAAACGATGCACGCACCATAAAACAGTATCGTTCGCGAATAGAGATAAATGATAATTCGTTTTATTAATAAAGTGTTTGTGTTTATAATTTATACGCCAACAAGTACCTTCAAGGTGAGTGTTTAAAGATTATATCTGCGAATTATTTATTCGGGTCCGCGCGAGTTCATTTTGCGTTTCTTAAAAAGTATTTATTTTATTTTTCGAACTTCTGAACGAGTGCTGCGTTCCAAAATTAGAAATTAGGATGGGTCGTTAAGAATATTTTATAATGTTATTTAAATAGAGAAAAATATGAATTACTCGCCATACTGGGAAATTAAACACCTATATTGTTTGTGAAGATTATTAGTATCAAAGTGGATAATCTAATGAAAAAACGAAAATATAAGGAGTGAATTTAATACCAATGTTATCTTTACCTTCAGCGTGTAAACAACAGAGAAAGTGTAAAAGTACCTAAGTAAAAAACAAATATATAAGTATGTACATCTTATATCGATTGACATAATATTATTTTCATCAAATTTATTTCGATTTCAATAAAATAAATGCGTATAGGTATGTTTTTTTTCCAAATTGACTTTTTTGATCAGTTAATTAAGGATAAATCACAGATGTCATTGATACTTCGTCAGATAGTCACAATATTTTTTTTATAATTGACTAGTGACTCGCCTTGGCTTCGTACGGATAGCAATAATTATCAATAAAGCTTCTGTACCAAACGCTTCCAAACATCACAGGATCACCCGCTGTACTAAACAAAATTTCATCAAAATTGGCCATACAGTTCCATAGACGTAGAGACGTAGAGTCTTTATGCAACATATATACGTATAATATAGATTTTTATAAATTTACCTTGATATATTAGTACTTTGAAATACGTATTCGTATTTAATTTCGTTAAAGATTTTCTGAAAAACATTATACTAATTGATTTATAAATTGTAATAGCATCTAAACAACAATACAGGTTAAAAAGTAATTTTCGCACGTCATATGCAAATATCATTTTAATTACCGGCCGTGAACGATGTCACTGTTTATTATTACTGAAGTTTTCTGTCCGTTGTATCTTTAAATATTCTTATAAAATACGTGACACATAAAGTGCTCGCGATGAAAATCCTACTAATCATTAATCAATGTTAATGTTTTGATCAATAATTTCCGAGAAATATAAAAAAAATATAATAGGATACCAGTTTGTTAAACAGGATAAAAATCACTATTAATAATAAGTAAAAAAAAACATTACATGTGTTACAAATGATTTTAATTGTATAAAATAAAACATTCATAAACTGGTTAGGTTTATACTGCTTAATTAGAACTTAAACGGTCGCACAGTAGGTAGAAGATGGTCGTCAAAAATTTCAAAATGTCAATTAGGCTTAATGACTGGAAAAAAAACAAAAACTTCTAAATTATTACGATCGAATTTCGACTAATGGACGCAATTTATAATTATTTTATCATTTCGGTATTCCTAATTGGAAATCAAAACAAATCACACGATTTTTTTATATTTCGAGATAATTATTAGTATATTTTAACTTCTTTAACAGCAGTTCCCATTCCAAATGCGGGCCTGTGCACTCATAGTGACACATCAACAGGTAGGCTTTTGGGCGATTTTTGCTGTCGATCTGCCAGTTTTCGCAAACTGGTTGCCCAATAGGCGAGTTCCGAGCGTTTAGCAAACTAGTATTGATATCGTAGATTCTTGCCAGATAGCCTGCGCTATTATGAAACGTGCGCCAAATGTTATGTTCTCTCTTGAATTTAAATCGTCATCAGGGTTAACCATTGCTTTTGACATTGCTTTTTAACAAATAGTTACCTATTATTCAATAATTGTTCCCAATAAAATTTTACGAATGAAAATGAAAATATTATAAAATGGGAACGAAAAGTTTTTCGCCGCTGTGGAAATCAAAACCATGCTTTCAGGATTCGCGCCCTGAAGCAATGCTTGATGCATCCATTGTTATATCCTTTCCAGCATACAAACAATTTGAAATCGTTTTACAACGGTAATTCTAACGATAGATGTCGCTATTGCTTTTTACAAATTAAAATTTTTTATAGTGCTAATCCTCTGCACTAAAGAGTATTTTTATATATATGAAACTTTTATATTCTGCTCTGCACTTAAGATTAAACATTAAATTGTTGTCATAAAAAATCGCGACCTCGTCACCTCTGTTTTTCAACGAACTACAATTTCAAGCTGTAGATGACTCGGTGACGCAGTGCTTAGCCATTGGTTTCGGCGCTAGGGTCGTGGGTTCGATTTCCAAACTGGACACACAAATAATTCCTCCGAATCTGGGTGTTTATTCCCAAGGGACGTCAGACAGGCGGCCAGTCGAAAAACTAGCCAATACCATTAATAACATGATTCATGTATTGTGCCGTCCCCACCTAAGAGGGATAAGACGAGAAGAAAGATAGAAAAAGTATTGATTATGTTTTAACTGAAATAAGCGCTTTCAGTTCGTAGACTAAAAAGTATTGCATATTAAGGAAGATTATTGTAATCTCGAAACCGAATAAGTTGTTCCCTAAGTGGAGATCATGTCTTTTCTCACGATGGTATGTATAAATAATCGTGCGAAACATTTCTTTTCCCTTATCAACAAGGAAATAGATCTTATCTGTTACTCATCTAATCTAGGCTAATCTTTGTTAGGTAAACGCCTTCCTCGCCACAAAGAGCTTTTCTATAAAATCCTTTACTCGTCTCCACTAATATCCAAGAGACTTCAAGCTAGTTTACAATCGACCATAGATCCTTACATATTAAACCGTTTATCAACCGTTCTCGTTGACGTTTAAATCCGAACAAAAGCGTCTGAGACAGCCTTTTATAAATTTATATTTATACTTGTAATACGTTTCACAACAAAAATCGATAACGGCAAAGAAGCCATTGTTTTTAAAATTTAATTGATATTGAAGCGACTAGTTGATGATTAGGTCCGGCCTATTTTCACGGATTCGTATGGGCATTAATTTATTTATAAGTAGTACAATAACGTAGAGCCGTGATAGATAGCTAGAGCTTGATAGAGCAGTGTTCGGGCGCTCGCCTTTAATTCAATATACTTGAGCAACCAGAGTTCGATCCCCGGTGCCGGCACCGATGAAATTGTTAATTTCAAGTGCTGAATTATCACGTACTCAGCGGTGAGGAAAACGTCTTGAGGAAACCTGCATATTTTCGAAATAATAATGAAAAAAAAAAATATTTTCAAGATATGTGAAGTCCGTCAATCCGCAGTGAGGCCGCGTGGTGGACTATAGTGCCCAGTAGTGGGACTTTTATACGCTGATACTTTTTTACAATAACGTCATGTATTGAAGCAAAAGAATAACAGCCTATTTATTATATCCCACTGCTGGGCAAAGGTCTTTTCTGTACACAGGGTCCTAGGCCACACACACAGGCCCCGTGACCTCAGTGCAACTTCACATCTTGGGAAATATTATTTTTTGTTATAACGAAAACATGTAGCTCACGATGTTTTCCTTCGCCATCGAGCATATTATTGATAAGTTAGCAATTTAAAACGTTAATAATAATTTCTTTCATGCTAACACCGGGATTCGAACTCGTTTCTCGAGAATATTGAATTAAAAGTTAGCACCCGGACCTTGAGTTATGAAGGCTATTCAAGTCACTTATATTTTTTAATAATTATTCAACTTATGAATTAATAAAATAATAAACTGAAATATTATGAAAACCACGAAGTACTACTAGTACTCATTGTAAAGAGTGTTTCAAATATGCAATAATATATGCCATATGAAATTATGTTCGGTTATAAAAGTTTGTTAACACCTCCTTAAATTCGCATAGACATATAAGAGTTCTAACGTTTTTACCGTGATCCTAATATTTTAACTATTACTTAACTTGAATATTAACGACAAGCAGAACTGTTGGTTATATCACCGACCGGGACCGCAGCCAAAATCCAAGTGACCGCTGCTTCATGCGACCATGTGTCCATTGGCTCGAGTAGATAACGTCATATCCGGTGAATAGTGTTGCCAGCGCCAACATTCATTTGCAAAAAATGTCAATTTGATTATATTACCAACTTTATAACACACTCGCAGAGGACCGGTGTAAATTAGGGGAAATAAACGTTTGCGTTTCATCTGGCGAGTGAGGTAACCCCTCCAAATTTTAAAAGTTGGTTACCCATCATTGCCACAAGGGTTTAAGATGTCTATGGGCGGCGGAACTTAGGCGTGAACCGACTGCATGCGGGCACACCTTACATAAAAAATATCATTCTTTACATAATTCAATTATTGGAAATTGCTGATCAAAGTTTTCTTTATACAAGCTATTATATTCTTCTATTCTACTCGTTGATAAAGTAGGTTTTCATTCGCCACTCCTTTTTCTAGACTCCGTGTACTCTGATTATAATTGATACTATAGAGTTTGCGTATACCTTACAATCATAATATTTGAACCCGTAATTGAAATGAACCTAAAAAGTAGTAGGTAAGTAATTAATTAAATATCAGTTAAGTGACAAGTATAATATCTAATGCGCTTGGAATTTATTAGTTTACAAAAGAAACAAATTTGTTACAAACGCCAGAGAAACGGAAATCCATTAACGGGCATGTTGTTATGGTTTGAGATCACGATTCGACCAGACCACGATTACTTTATTAATTATATAAGATCTTAAATCATAAGTTACGTAACTAGTATTTAAAACAATGGTATATTAGAATTTCAAACCGGGTTGTTAGTGTTTGCTCCGAAAGGCTTTCTGCTGTTGTTGTTTGACCGTAGACAATCGTTACACTTACACCATGTTTGACACATCGCTTAATCGCGGCCTAAATATTTTTTGAAAGCAATTAAATGGCAACTTTCTTACGTACTGTCCAATTTAAAATTTACAGCGTGCGTAAAATATTAACATAGCGGTCACGTTTCTTTTAAGTTAATAATGTTTATAAATAGGATAAGATTAAATATATATACAAATAACAAATTTTAATTCCGATGTTACCTTATGATTTTTAAGAACGTCTTTTTATCGTTGTCTAAAATACAAACATAGGAAACG